AAAAAACAGAATACTGTAATTTATGCTCGTTATTATGCTTTTTCTGATTTAATTAATTTGATTGGAAGGAAAAGTACAGGTTTATATCATGCATTAACAGAGACTATAATGAATACAAAACAAAAAAGTGCCCAGAATCTCCTTTGAGTAATAACAAAACAGACTATAGTTAGAATGAAACAATTCCCCAGATAAAAATGTATGCAAACATATATATATATAGCCACCAATGCTTTGTCAGTCAATCGTTAAGCTAGCTTAAATCATCACTATCATTCATTTCTGATATATTAGTAGTTAAATTGGGAGTTTTCTCAGTGTCAGATTGCAGAGTCATATTCAAAGCAGGATCTCTTATTTGACTTTAAAGCTTGTCTGCACACTTCATTGGAGTGCATTTGCATGACTGTATGTAAGTGTAGTTATAATCAATCTCTGTTCCATTGGTGCACTTCAGCTTCACTGGCAGACTGGTAGACTTATCTTTCTGGCAGCAGGAGCAGCTGGTCATTTGATTGGCGTAAAGTGAATACCTGTAGACATTTCCATGAAAAAATCAGTCAGATGAGTGTATCATAATATATACAGTGTACAATCAAAAGTGATATTGCTCAATCATGTCAGTATACCCACAGTATAATTATAAAGTTCTACAAATTATTCCACATATAAAACTACTGAAGGAGTCAGCACAACACCATTACTGGAATTACTTTTTTGTTTTTGGAGTTCGAGTAAAATGCAGATTTTCTCTTGCTGTGGAGAGTTTTTAGCTTAAGATTTTAAAGATCGGATGAAAGATTTGGTGTTTAAAGCATGTTTGTGATCTACAGGTGTGCAGTGCTCTTACATGGAGCCACAATGGCCAGTGCAGGATGTAATTTCTAGATCCTGAACAGAAGTGCAGTCATCCACTTGCAGACGGGTGATATTTCTCTGACGGACACAGTTGCGAGTTTCACCTGTGGATGAATGGAGAAAGGTAAGCTTGTGTCTGACTCTTATTTTGCTTTTTAAAAAACTTTTAAATAACCCACATTAACACAGGAGAATGTGCACATAATGGTTTTAGCATGTTTGTGTGCTGGCGTTTAGTGTAAAGAATATCTTACATGTGTAACAGCACTGATCTGAGTCCAATTTTATTGTTCCCTGTAAAGACACAAATAACTTTATACATTTCATCAAACCTCTCAAAAAACATCTTGCTAAAACACATTGCAAGATTTGATACTTAAAAGTACAACTTTTACACCCTTCAAACAAAGTTTTTTAGGTTTAAATAGCCGACACTGCCATCTAGTGGATTAACAGAAACATTCACCCTCATTCATCATGAGTTACTCTGTCACACTTCCTTCTTTGTTGTATGAAACAGAAGTTATTCCCAATTATTTATATATCATTATTATTTGTTAAATTCTCCACAATGAAAGTGAACATAGTTAGTGGCTGTCGAAATATTTAAGAAATGGCAACTTAAATGTTTCTGTTAAACACAGATATATATATATATATATATATATATATATATATATATATATATATATATATATATATATATATATATATATATATATACATACACACAGTTGAAGTCAGAATTATTAGCCCCCCTGAATTATTCGTCCCCCTGTTTCCTGTTTATTTTTTCCTCAATTTCTGTTTAACGGAGAGAAGCTATTTCCACACCTTTCTAAGCATAATAGTTTAAATAATTTATTTTCAATCACTAATTTATTTTATCTTTGCCATGATGACAGTAAATAATATTTTCTAGATATTTTACAAGACACTTTTATACAGCTTAAAGTGACATTTAAAGGCTTAACTAGGTTAATTAGGTTAACTAGGCAGGTTTGGGTAATTAGGCAAATTATTGTATAATGATGCAATGTTGTGTAGACTATTGAAAAAAAATAGCTTAAAGGAGCTAATAATATTGACCTTATATATATATTTATTTATTTTAATATTATTATTATTATTTTTTGGAAACCAGTACAGGGTTTTAGACCTAAAATTCAGACCTATACTGGGCTAAACACTAATGATGGGAACAATTTTGTCTTCAAAATTCTGTATTATAAATAATGCGCCAAAAAAAGCAAATTAGTTGTATACATATACTTTTTCAGCATAACAATCATTAAAAAATTGACAAGCTTTAAAAACTATAGGTAAAAAAAAAATATTGCAAAGTGAAAAAAAAACTGTTCTAAACTACATGTATGCACCGCAGTCAGTCCAAGTAGCTATAAATACACCGACAACTTTTTAAACAAATGTTATTGTATGGAAGGCAATTAATCCATACTGGTATATAGAGCTGATAAATGTATTCAAAATGTTGTTCATTAATAATTTAGGTTTTATTTAATTAATAGTTTGGATGTATTTGGAATTAATTGTGATTGAATGGGTGCTTACCATGGGTAACTTTCGTTGGACATTGAAAAAATAAGACTGGTTTAAAATGATTTAAGACCTAAAAAAACATATTACAGTGAATTTAAGACTTTAAGGCCTAAAATGTAGGTTTTGAAATGAAAGATATTTTAAGATGATTCATTGGATTTACTAAACTTATTTTAAAGGTAAGTGACTACGAACAATTTATTTGGGCTGAATTTAAACAAATTAATTTGAACAATCTAAATTTAAATTGCTTGTTTAAATTCAGCCCATATAAATTGTTTGCAACAATGTAGTAGGTTTTTTCAATGGCTACCAGTTTCCAAAGTTCTTCAGAATATCCTTTCTACAAAAAAAAAAAAAAACTTCTAAAGGTTAAAAACCACTTGAGAGGGAGTAAATAATGAGTACATTTTCATTTTTGGGTGAACTTTCCTTAAGCATTGGGTGAATCTTCTCTAAGTAATAGCAGAATGCAACAGAAACTGAAACTACAGTCTTACAGGCTCGCAGTCGTCTGGATTAAATGGAGGGCATTGCTTAATCGTCTTCTCAGTCTCAAACAAGCCATTCACTTCATGACAGGTACCGGTCTCGCATTTGGATGTGTACGCCTCGTTATTCTAAACAAAAATACATAGAGGCTACATGAGGAAAAACAGCACAGGTACATCGTTTCAATACATTTATGATTAAAGATCATTTTTTTCACAAAATACCTTAAGAGTATGGGTGGTGTTGTCTGGTGCTTCATAAATACAGCATGTTTGTTTACATGTTCCACAGCAGTCTCCCTCTTGTTTCACGTATTCAAAGAACTTGAAGGATAAAAACAAGTTTATAGTTATAAAAACTCTAAGGATTCAGAGCCAGATTCACAAAGCGGTAAAATCATAACAACTTAATTTTTTTTTCTAACTTTAGGCTCAAATTTTGGCCTTAAAACAGAATGTTAAATAACATTTCAGAATGTGTTTAAGTTGTTTTCAGGTCAAAATACCCATCAGGTAATTTATTACACCCTGGTGAAAATGTCAATTTTTGGGTCAGAGGGAATGTGGAAGCAAGTGACCACACTTTAGCCCCTTTCTCACATACAGACCTTTCAGAAATGAAAGGTCCTGTTCACCTGTTCACACATACAGAAAAATTGTATGTGTGAACAGGCCCTTTTTGAAAATACCGGTAAATTCGTTCAGGCTATTTTCCGGAAAGAGAAGTTGTAACATTACCGGTAATTTGCTGGAATGCTGCGCTGTGTGAATGCAGAAGGAAGATTGCCTGAAAGAGCGCGCGCACGTCTAGAATGTGCTGACGTGAGACGTCTACTTTAGTCAATCAGAACAGTCAGACGCATTCACGTGCGCCCGGTTTATGAGAATAAAAGCCTTTGAATATTTTTCCTGACACATTTAGCTGCTTGATGTTAGTCAGATAACGTTTCTATGTTCCTTCTTAATGCTAACTGTGTAAATAATTATCGATAAAATGTTCAAGCTTTGCTTGTGCCCGTGAGCACACACATATCATATCATATCATATCATGAACATCTCGACATGCGAAAGTGTTCCTCTATATGTTTTCATTGGAGTTGTACTCAATACTGATCCATCTGAAGAGTTTGTAATGTAGTCAAATGTTTACAAACACAAGCGCAGCCATTTAGAGGTCATTTCTGGTTAATGATGTGAGAATTTACCGGCATTTTGCGATGAATGTGTGAATGCTCTTTTCCGGAAAAATTCCGTAACGTCCTCGCCTGTGTGAACAGCGCTTTTTTGAATTTACCGGTAAAGTCGTTCCGGAAATTTTCCGGATATTTACCGGTATCACTGTGTGAAAGGGGCTTTTGGTTAAAGATTTTTAAAAAGTGGATTAACTTGCACAGATTAATAGTTCAGCTAAAGAATAACAATGTGTGCTAGTAAAATAAACGGATGTACAGTCATTTTAATTTCACATGTACTTTAAAGTGTAACGAAACCCCTGTTTTAGCAGGATGGTTGCAAAACTAACCAATTTTTTAGCAATGCGTAACCTATATTCACACATTTTTAAATGTGTTTGGGGGGTTTCATGACCCTTTACTCCTAAGAAATCAATAAAACTTATTAATGGTCTTTTTATCTTAGGAAGATTGTTGTGAAAACAGCTTTAGGTGTCGTGTGGCTTGACAATAATGAATCTACTTACAGGTTTACAGTCAAGGGAGCTCAAGTAAGTGCACTTCTCAGAGTTCCTCTCAGTCACAGGAGAGCCACTGACACTACAGGTCACATTTTCACATTTGTAACTGTGAACTTCTCCAACCTAACAAAACACAGAGAGAGTTTAACAGGGCTGAAGAAAATGTATTAATTGATGGACTAAAAATAAGGAAAAATTCATGAAGTGTACCTGAAGAGTGTATGTGGTGTTGTCCATGATGTAAGTACAGTTCCTTTGCACACATGTTCCACAACAATCTCCTTCTTTTATCACATATTCAGAGCCCTTAAAGAGAGAAGTTTTATTAATTCAGTGGCACTTTTACGGCTTTTTTAAAGCCCCATTTTAAAAGCAACAGATGATGTTAAGGAGAAAGTGAGCATGAACAAACAATCAGTGAATAGATTAGCTTCAAAAAGCTAAATATATAATTGACAGCAATGAATACCAGTTTGTTTCAGATCAGATTTAAACAAACACAAACAAACAGTTCAGTAAAAGTCATGTGTATTGGTCTCGTTTACAAAACTTTAATGCATTGTGAATGAACAACTAATTTTTAGTGACATATTCTAGAACACATCAGAGATGACTCTTCTGTTCGCCCACAATCTGAGCCATTTAAAACCAAATGAACAGAGCGAGAAATCACAGAGAAAATGTCCGAGCTATGATTAATTTGTGTTGCCAGGTCTTGCTAGAAAAAAAACACAATTAAAAACAGCTCCATTTGTAAAAAAAAATATTATATAAAAAAAGCTAAGCCTAAATAACAAACCAAAAGATGCGTATATTAACTGGACATGGTAAGAGCACACTCTATGGATTAGACTTATAGATGTAAACAAAAAATATATTATTTTGTTGTTGATCATAGTTGTTTAGTTTAGGCACTGTAGGAAGCGGTAAATAGGTTAAAAAAAATCGGCTGCCAATAAAGTCTATTAAATGAAGAAACACTGGACAGAGATTCTACTTACAAGCTTACAGTCAAGTGAGCTCAAGTAAGTGCACTTCTCAGAGTTCCTCTCAGTCACAGGAGAGCCACTAATAAGACTACAGGTCACATTTTCACATTTGTAACTGTAAACTTCTCCAACCTAACAAAACACAGACAGAGTTTAAGAGCGCTGAAGAAAGATTCATTAATTAATGAACTAAAAAAATACAGAGAAAAGTTGGCAGATGTTTTGAAGTGTACCTGAAGAGTGTATGTGGTGTTGTCCATCATGTAAGTACAGTTCTTTTGCACACATGTTCCACAACAATCTCCTTCTTGTATCATATATTCAGAGCCCTTAGAGAGAAGAGTTTTATTAATTAAGTGGCACAGTTGATGGTAATGAGAAAGTGAGCAGAAAGACATGTAAAACCAGCGAGTGAATAGACTAGTGCGTGTCACAATGCTTAAAATGTCATTGACAGCAATGATTAGCAGTTCATTTCAGATCAGATTTAACCAAAAACTAACTTACAGTTCAGTAAAAGCCATCAATAGTGGTCTTGTTTACAAACGTTTAACACAAGTATTATTCAGTGACATATTCTAAAAAACATCAGAGATGCTTTTCTCTGTTTGCCTGCAATCTGACTCACTGATAACCAAATGAACAGAGAGAGAAATCACAGAGGAAAGATACAAGCTGTGATTCATTTGTGTTGCCAGGTCTTTCTTGAAAAAAATTAACTAATCAAAATGCAGTTCTAAAATAAACTGAAATAGATAAATAGTATATATAATGTTGAAAATATTTCAAATATATGGCTCTAAACCTACTCTGATAAATCAATAAACTTGATTGATCTATGAGCCAACCTGAATAACAAACCAAAAGATGCTTATAATAACTGGACATGGCAACACCACAAGAGCGCTCACTGTGATGTAGATCTCCAGATGTAAACAATAACATAAGGCTTAGTCATTTAGGCGCTGTAATATAAACAGCTCAAAAATAGCAGCTGCCAAACATGTCTATTAAATGAAGAAACACTGAACAGAGATTCAACTTACAAGTTTACAGTCAAGTGAGCTCAAGTAAGTGCACTTCTCAGAGTTCCTCTCAGTCACAGGAGAGCCACTGATGACACTACAGGTCACATTTTCACATTTGAAACTGTGAACTTCTCCAACCTAACAAAACACAGACAGACTATAAGAGGACTGAAGAAAAATCATTAATTAATCAACTAAAAGAATATAGAGAAGTTAATGAAATGTACCTGAAGAGTGTGTGTGGTTTCGTCTACCATGTAAGTACAGTTCCTTTGCACACATGTTCCACAACAATCTCCTTCTTGATACACGTATTCAAAGCCCTTAGAGAGAAACATTTTATTAATTCAGTTTAGTGCTTTTAAGTCTCGCTTTTAAAAGCAAAATGTGATGATAATGAGAAAGTAAGCAGAAAAGCATTAACAACCAGTGAGTGGACCGAGCAGGCACAGGATGTCAACATGACGTCAGATTGACATTTTGTACCCTTATGTTGTGGGGATGTTGCATTTTGTTTGGAAACGAAAATTGGGTTGATGTCAGAATTCAACATCGGGCCGACGTCAATGTCCAACCTAAAATCAACCAATTATCAACCTCTAATTATGTTACAGCTTGACGTTAAGTGGATATTGAGTATCAGACATTGGCTTTTTGTTGCCATAGCTTACATATAAATATCAGATTTTGACATTAATATGGCGTTGGTACAAGATGATGGCTTGACGTTTGATTTTAGTCACTTTTCAACATTTGTAACTCTGGACTTCTCCAACCTAACAAAACACAGACAGAGTTTAAGAGCGCTGAAGAAAGATTCATTAATTAATGAACTAAAAAAATACAGAGAAAAGTTGGCAGATGTTTTGAAATCTACCTGAAGAGTGTATGTGATGTTGTCCATCATGTAGGTACAGTTCTTTTGCACTTATTTTACAGTTCTTATTTGCACTCATTATTTTAGTCACTTTTCAACACAACCTAAAATCAACCAAATATCAACGTCATTTGACGTCATTTTTGGACGTCAAAATATCATTGTCCTTAGACATAAAATTTTGGTCACCTAATGTCATGACTAGGCCCACACGGAATCTGCAAGTGCAGAATTCTTCAGATTTTCCGCAGATTTCTGCAGATTCTTAGCCCATTATTAATTCTGTTTATTTACTTGAGTTAATGTGTAAATCTGAATTTATTCAGTTTTTATTAAGTAATTTATTACTTTTTATTTAATATATTAAGGTTTTAATTATGATACTCCACTGGATAATCCCAAAATAATTCTGCTGAAATCTGCAGATTTTTACCAAAATTCTCTGGTCATGACCTAAATCTAACCTAATATTAACATTTTATGACGTTGTGTGCCTGCTGGGAATAGACTAGTCTTTGTCACAAATCTACAATATAATTGACAGCAATGATTACCAGTTCAGTTTAGATCAGTTTTAACCAAACACTAACTCACAGCTCAGTAAAAGTCATTTGTAGGGGTCCTGTTATTTTGACATCCAATAACAATGTAAAATGACGTTGATATTTTGCTAATTTTAGGTTGTGTTGGAAAATGACCAAAATCCAACGTCGAGCCAACATCTTAAACTAACGTCATATTGACATCAAATACTGACATTTGTTCGTCAGGTATGGCAACTAAAATCCAAAGTCTGATCGACATTATAGTGGTAATTTCCACACAATGTCAAGCTGTAACTACGACGTTGGGGTATAATGTCAATTTGGCGTCATGTGTCTGCTGGGACTGGACAGAGATTCTACTTACAGGTTTACAGTCAAGTGAACTCAAGTAAGTGCACTTCTCAGAGTTCCTCTCAGTCACTGGAGAGCCACTAATGGCACTACAGGTCACATTTTCACATTTGTAACTGTGAACTTCTCCAACCTAACAAAACAGACAGATTTTAAGAGGGCTAAAGAAAAGTGCAGGTTCATTAATTGATAAATTAAAAGGATGTTGACAAATGATTTGAAGTGTACCTGAAGAGTGTATGTGGTGTTTTCAATCATGTAAGTACAGTTTCTTTGCACACATGCTCCACAACAATCTCCTTCTTGTTTCACATATTCAAAGCCCTTAGAAAGAGAGGGAGAAAGATTTGTATTTTTTTTACAATTGTAATAATTCATAGGCGCTTTTACCGTTATATGCTCTTTCTGCTTACAATGATTCATTGGTTGACTGAATGACCATACATGAATAGATATACAAGTAATATATCCATATATAACTCATATATTATAGGTTATATATTTAGACATATGTATATATTTGTAGCTTCAATGGCAGCCAATATTTCAGGAAAAAAAAGTGTGTGTGTGTATGTACGTATGTATGTATGTATGTATGTATGTATGTATGTATATATATATATTTATGTGAAACCTAACTCCAAATATATGCACTTGTGTGTCAAATATAATTTGCATATATTGCTTTATTTCAGATTTTTATGTGGAGAATGCAACAGTGATGTGCAGACAAGTATATAATGTGCAGTTGAAATTAGGGATTGTACTTACAGACCCACAGTCCTGTGAACTCAAGTAAGGACACTGAGTTGTGGTCATCTCTGCCACAAATGAGCCATTAACTTGACGACAGTTCAAAGTCTGACATGTGAAATAGTAGACGCCAACCTAACAAAAGACAAAGACTCAGACTCATAAATTTATAAATCTACTGTAAAAGTTTCAATCAAAATGAGTGAATGAACCAAACAGCTCACCTTGTACTCGGTGTTATTGTACACACAGACATCCTTTTGCACTAAACAGAAATAAGTCAATTTGTTTTAGAGAAGATTCACTCGAAAATGAATGCTCTGTCAGCATGAAAAGCAATCATTTTTCTTGATTATTCAAATTGAAATTTCCACTTAATTATATTTTGCTTTATTTTTACTGGGAGAAAAAGTGCTTTTCTTTTTGGAAGCTTGAAAAGATTTAGATAAATTATTTTAAAATGTGATACTTACCGCAGGGTGGACAGCAACTGCCTTCAGTTTTATTGAAGCCTAACTCAAATCCCACATCGCATTTCTTCTGAAGGCATTGCTCATAATCACAAACTGAATGGATGAAGAATATTTCAATTAATATTATTGAATGATTGTATCATGTGTCCAGAAATATCAAGCGTTCCCATGTTTGTTTGGAGTCTGTGGCCAGCTGGTTCAAACTACTGTAAGTGAATCATTTGTCCATTAAGGACTTGTTTTGATGTCTTAATTTCTCACCCATGCACAATGCTAGCAGTTGTTACCTGCTTATACTTTACTGAGAGTTGATCTCATTTTGAATTACGATTTCTTTGACGGTTTATCAAATCTTGAAGACTCACCACAAGTTGGACAGCAGTTTTCAACAGCGCTTTTGTATCCATCACCACACATATTTACAGTTGGACACGTTACAGGAACTTTCACATAGACACCGGTATTAAGGCATGTATAGTTGTAACACTGATAGGTCCAGATTTCTCCAGGCTGTAGAAGAAAAATGTTGATAATAGTTATTTCTAAAATTCCCATTTGCAGTCAAAATTTGAATGAAATGAATTCAAATTCAGAACTTCACATGCACACTCTAGGGACATCAGAGACTTATTTTACATCTTGTATGTACAGTTTCCCCCTTTAATTCCTGCGGACAGCTAAGATGTTTTTAAGAAAATAGTACTGCTGTTTTGTTGCTAAGCCTGACCCCCCATTCACACGGGGCTTCAGCGTCAACACTTATCAGAGGGCGTGTCTGAAGTTGGGGCTGACGTGATCGTCATAGCAGCGTAAGCCAATGAAATTAGTCAGCAATTGGCCACTGTCTGAGCTGGTGTATTTGCATACAGCGATCTGATTGGCTGACGCTTCCGTTGGCGGAAGTTGAGCAAGTTCCAACTTCTGCAGTGAGAAACGCCTCTGAAGCGGCGCCAACGGATCCACAATGCAATTCGGCAATGCCTGACGTCACCCATTCAAAGTGAATGGGAAGCATTGAAGCTAACGCCCCCTGTGAATGGGGCGTGACTATGTCAGGATTCTGCCACTTCAGTTTGGTTAATTCTTGTTTCTGTGGCAGAGTCCGGGCACTGGTCATGTCTTGTGAGTCCTGTCTCTTGTTATTGTTCCGAACATGCGGTCTCGACAGCGTTCTTGTCATATTGTTTTGGTCATAAAACAGGGTTGTTGCTAGATCAGATAAAGTTGTGGCCAGAAGTTAACAATAAGTATTTATATTACTAATTAAAATTCCCATTGTATTTTATAAACATCTATCTAAAACCTAAACCCATCACTGTACTGTAAAAATATTAATTATTGTTTTACAGTGTTACAAAAATAATGCTAAATTGATGGCGTATCCGCAGCTGTATCCTATCTAGACTACACCATCAAACAGTAACATGATTAAAATACAGAAAATCATGATTTTGGAGTTTTTGTTCTAGTCGGGATTAGAACCCAAAATTAATTTAAAGCACAGCTACATTGTGCACACGCACAGTCCACTAGGCCATACGAGTTAGAAATTTGAAATTGACCATGTTAGTCAAATGCATATTCTCCAGGTCTCGAAACGCTTCAGAAATGATCAATGCTTTGAATCGCTTTAGTCATGTGACCAGGTGTTTCGAAACACTTTAGTCACGTGACCTGGGTGTCTCAAATCATGCTTCGGTGCAGTGTTTCGAAACACTTGCGCTTCGGGATCTCAACACTGTGTCGAAACGTCAGTTTCACGTCAGCCATCCCTAGTGTCATGTCTTGTCCAGCCCTGCTATTTCCAGCCCTTTCCTACCAGCGTAGACAAGTTTTTCTTGTTAATTGAGACTTTTCCCCCTTCTCAGGGTTGTTTTTGTTGCCTTTTTGTTTTATTTCTTTCGTTAATAAACGCATACTTTTGTCCTGCGATTAATTCCTCGTCCTTTCCCTCCCACTCACCATGACAGACTATTGTAGTAATGTTAATTAACGTGACATACCTTTCTAGGTGATCCATCAGGGCCGATGCAGTCTGCAAAGAGCAAACTAAAATTACCACCAAAATTAAAATATGATATATGGTGCATTAAACCACCAATCCAGAAAAGTTAACAAAGAAACACTTCTTACCGCAGTAAGCTGTACACAAATTTGATGCCAAATTAACCCGATATTGGCCATCAGGACAGTAGCAACCTTCTGCTAATGTTTGGTTACAATCGTTGCTTTGACATTGTGTATCCGCATACATAGTATTGTACCTAGTTAAAAAACAGATTTGTCAGTGACGAAGACATAGTGCTAAAAATATTGCACATATTTAAATTGTTTTGGATTTTAATGAGGCGTATTACGATGTACTGCAGGATTTTTCCACTTTCGGTCCACATGCCTTGTAGACTTTGGTACTAGGACACTTGAAATCTGTTCAAGAAACCAAAGACAAGACTCAAGTCAGACACAATGTATGAATTACAACAGTGAAAGTAAAATCAAATGCATGCATACACACATTACAAGTAAACATTACTACAATCATGAATGTGTTAGTGAGTATACCACAGAGCCCTTTAAGTTCAGGTGAGCTTCTCCAGTCCACACAGATAGATTTACGGCCACATAGTTGTGCGTAGGACTCCACACTAGCACAGCCATAAGACTCATTTCCCATAGTGGTCACATCATATTTACATGCTTGATAATACTCAACAAAGGGAACGACATCATGGCAGCTTTTAAACACACTGTAAACAAAATACAAGATAAACACAGACCTTAATAGAGAAATACTAAACAAAAATGTGTTAGATTTAATACTGCTCAGTAAAAAAAGTGCACATAACTGTGTGATTAAAATAAAAAATACGAACCAGATACCATGCTGGTGAAGTGCTGTTGTTTACCAACACTGTTGCCATGCATCACTGGTAGGATAATTATTACAAATGTTAGCAGTGTAAAATAATGTGTGCTAGTTATATATTGTTATTTGTAATATAAGTGAAGGTTCTAGTAGGGTTTGGTTACGAATGGGTGTTGGAATCATTGTATGTGGGTAGACAAGACTCATCCACTTTTTAAGATCACTGAAATTGGACCCACACTTTTACGGTCTTTAATTCATTCAGCATATTGGTCTGTGGACTTTCAGAGCTACAAATGCCTCAGTAAAATAAACTCATATAATAAAATAACTCATAAAATAAAAGCCATGTTCACACACCCATGAAACAGAGAAGCTTAGCATATCTGCTCCTGGTTAGGTGGATCTGGCTGTGTGGTCACAGCTTGGGGTACACCATTTTTCAATTTTGTAGATGGATTATTGGTTAATTTTAATTATTAACAAAAAAAGCACAACAATAAAACAGTTCAATGGAAAACAAGTGTCTATTATGTTTATAAATAAAAAACATGTTCAGCTTCTCTGGTTTAAGAAGTGCTCTTTTATTTTTAAAGTTGGCACGAAGTAAAAAAAAGTTATGGTGTTGACTAAGGATTTTGAGGGAAAATACATTTCTACAATATAATGAAGGGCACATAAGAGCACATTTTGATTTCATGCCAACTTTACATCTTTCCTAAAAACCAGCATGGTATAATGGCGCCATCTTGTGTTCTTCTGCATTTCTCTGTGTATCAACTGCTTGGTATCTGAATAATTTTGTTTAAAAAACTTAATTTGGATAATTTTTTGGTTTCTGGAAAATACTGTCAAGCATGTGTTAGCATCTATTTTAGTCCAATAAAACCATCCATTTTTTTGCAGCTGATCCCACACACACACACACACACACACACACACATTTACATACATATATACATATATATATATATATATATATATATATATATATATATATATATATATATATATATATGTGTGTGTGTGTGTGTGTGTGTGTGTGTGTTTGTGTGTATGTGTATGTGTGTATATATATATATATATATATATATATATATATATATATATATATACACGGTCACCCACTGAATCTAGGCAGGGCTGCATCCGGTCAGTACTTGGATGGGAGACCACATGGGAAATCTAGGTTGCTGCCGGAAGTAGTGTTAGTGAGGCCAGCAGGGGGTGCTCAACTGTGGTCTTTGAGGGTCCTATTGCCCCAGTATATTGATGGGGACTCTATACTGCTCTGTGAGCATCATCTTTCAGATGAGTCTTTAAAAATCTCATGATGTCCTTCGGAAAAAAAGTAGGGGTTTGACCCTGGCATCCTGGCCGAATTTGCCCACTGGCCTATGTTCATCATGGTTTCCAAACAATCCCCATATCATAATTGGCTTCATCACTCTGTCTCTTTACCATCAATCAGCTGGTGTGCGGTTTGGTGCGAAATGGCTGCCGTCGCGTCATCCAGGTGGAGCCACTGGTGGTGAATGAGGAGATTCCCCCCCAAAATGTGTAAAGCGCTTTGAGTTTTCATTCATTTGTTCATTCTTTTTCAACCACTTTTTCGGGGCCAGATCGCAGGGGCAGCAGTCTTAGGAGAGAGTCCCAGACTTCCCTCTCCCCAGACACTTCCTCCAGCTCCTCCCAGGGGATCCCGAGGTGTTCCCAGGCCGGCCGAGAGACAGAGTCCCTCAAAGGTGTCCTAGGTCTTCCCCGAGGCCTCCTCCCTGTAGGACAAGCCTGAAAAACCCTCCCTAGGTAGGCGTCCAGGAGGCATCTAAAACAGATGCCTGAGGTGCCTCAACTGACTTCTCTTGGCAGCGGCTCTACTACGAGCTCCTCCCGGGTAACAGAGCTCCTCATCCTATCCATAAGGGTGCGCCATGCCACCCTGGGAAGGAAACTCATTTTGGCCACTTGTACCCAAGATCTCATCCTTTTGGTCATGACCCAAAGCTCATGACCATAGGTTAGAGTAGGAATGTAGATTGACCGGTAAATTGAAAGCTTTGCCTTTCGGCTCAGCTCCTTCTTTACCACAACGGACCGCTACATTGACCGCATTACTGCTGCTGCTGCACCAATCCGCCTGTCAATCTCACGTTCCATCCTTCCCTCACTCGTGAACAAAACCCCAAGATACTTAAACTCCTCCACCTAGGGTACGGACTTTCCTCCAACCTGGAGATGGCAAACCACCTTTTTCTGGTGGAGCACCATGGTCTTGGACTTAGAGGTGCTGATTCAACCCAGCACCTAGAATACAACCATCAGTGCTGGGAAACAAACACACACCCATTCACACACTATGACAGGGATGGGCAAACTTGACCCTCGAGGGCCGGTGTCTCTGCAGAGTTTTGTTCCAACACTAATCAAACACACCTGAACAAACTAATCAGTGTCTTCAAGATCACTTGAACTCTATTGGGAGGTCTGTTTGAATAGGGTTGGAGCTAAACTATAAAGGACACTGGCCCTCCAGGATCAAGTTTGCCCACACCTGCACTATGAGCAATTTAGCTTATACAATTCACCTCTAATACATCTCTTTGGACTGTGAGGAGAAAAGCGGAGAACAGGCAAACTTCACGCCAGTGACCTTCTTGCTGTGAGCCAAACATACCAACCACTCAGCCACCGTAGGTTTAGAAGTTTGTGTTAGATTTTTGCTTAGTTTTATGTTTAGATTTCACAGAAATAAAAAAGTCACATATGTGCTAATATGCAACATTGTGAAAATGGGAATTTCCATTTGAACTTGACAGGATGGATGTGCCATGAAGAGTGTGAGGATTGAGCAACATGGTTCTCCCTTGAGAAATGGACCAAAACAGTTATGTGCACCCCTCTTAATAATGGCCATAATAGCATCAAACTCTGTTTGTCCTTTGCCTTACTTGCTCCTGAGAATTTCACAGGGAGGTACGACTGGAGGTATAGGTGGAACCGGAGGTGAGGGTGGAGGTGTACATTCAGAAGCGTTCCAAAATGCTGCAGTTTTCTCACATAAACTGTTGATTGTTCCGTTAGGGTACTGGCAGTCATTTGTGTTGTTGTTGTCGCAACAACCTGTAATTATCAACAGAATTTTAAAATGTTATATGCAAGAACAAACTGTATTTTAAGCTAATTTAACACATATTACAAATCAGTTTAAAATTAACCAATAAACATTTTAGACAGAACCATCAGATAAAAAAATACTCTTAAAAACAAAAATCTACATCATTTATCATAACTACTCTAAAAATCTATTAATTTTTATTTATTTTTTTGTTCTGGCTGGTTCTAATTCAAGAGTTAACCCTTAGATATTGATTGAGGCTATTAGCAGGTTTGGCATGCTGTCCCAGGGGAGAACCCTGAGCTCGGAGATAATTAAGCCCAGGGCGGTATATGTCTCGAAATCTCCTCCTGGTAAAAGGAGGAAAAGGAGGAGATGGGGTGGAGGGGGGGTCTTCTTACGGAGATATGACAGTAGGGTGAAATCCGCCAATTTATTGCAGGCTTGAATAAATCTGATTGGATCATTTCTGATTACAAATGAGAGACCAGCCGCTATCAATCAGCTCACATGCTCCTCTCGAAATTAGTTTGTTAACATCTGTTTTCATATGCTTGGCTTGATACATCACATGTTTTGATGATAAACATTTGCATTGTGAGATGTAAAATTATTCTTTTTTCCATCACAATTGAACAATGCAGAGATGTATACTCACCACACTGTCCCTTTGTATTATTACGGAAGGAGGAAAACGGGAGTCTGATTGAGACTTCTGTAGCACTGACTGTAATCTGAACGTTTACATCAGTGATGTTCACAGTCGCTGCTATGCCAGTGGTGGTGATAATGAATCTATCAGTGATGTATGTTGGAATCGTCACTTGATTATTTACATAGACCTAAAGGAAAACGTTTATAATGTACAGATGATAATGCTTTGTATTAAGTGCCATAGTACAGTATTGCAGCGCAAACTCATAGCAGCACTGAAAAAATGTCTCTTAATTAGGGCTGCTCGATTTTGGAAAAAATCATAATCACGATTATTTTGGTCATAATTGTAATCATGATTATTCCAAACGATTATTAGTTGAAGTCAAAATTATAAGCACTCCTGAGAGTTTTTTTTTCAAATAAATATTTCCCAAATGATGTTTAACAGAGCAAGGAATTTTAACAGTATTTCCTCTAATATGTTTCTTCTGGAGAAAGGCTTATTTGTTTTATTTTGGCTAGATTAAAAGCAAATTTAAACATTTTGAAACCTCTTTTAAGGTCAATATTATTAGCCCCTTTAGGCAATATATATTTTTGATTGTCTGCATAAGAAACTACTGTTATATAATGACTTGCCTAATTACCCTAATTAAGCTTTTGAATCACACTTTGAATTTGAATGTTTGTATTTAAAAAATATCTACTAAAATATTATGAGCTGTCATCATAGCGAAGATAAAATTAATCGGTTATTAGAAATGAGATATTAAGACTATTATGTTCAGAAATCTTCTTTTCATTAAACAGAAATTGGGGGGACAAGGTTGCTAATATTCAGAAGGGCTAATAATTCTGACTTCAACTGCATATATTATTTTCCTCCCTGCAAAGGAAAGAGAAATAAATACAATAGAATAAAAATATGAAACAAACTGTGCTTTTAGCATCTTCACCGTAAGAAAAACACTTTAGCTACAAAAGTCTTCAGTCAAGAGCAGAGAGGGATTTTCTCATTGTTTTATTAATCATGATAAAACAGGCGGCAGCTGTGCTCTGTCACTTTAATGGTTTCGCTTTCACGTGTCTTTTGATTCTCAACTCGTTTGTTTATTACAAAATGAGGGTTAATATGAATAATCACTAAACACCGCGTTTTGACACCTATTTGAACATTAAAGCGCTCGCGTTAATGACTTTAGATGTGTGTGCTCTCTGCTCGTCACAATGTGCGAATGAGACCAAGTGCAGAGCGCATGCTTCTGACGCCTGTTTCACACCGCAAGCGTCAGCAAGCGTGAGCAGCGCGTGTGTTTTCGGCGTCCATGTTAACAGATGAGAGCTTTCATACTGCACGCAGCAGCAGCGCGTCAGAGCAAGGCGTGAGCGTCGCCGAAGCAGCAGTGCAGCGATAGTTTCGGCGCTGGGTCTATTTTTGACGTGCTGCTCACGCTCAATTAAAATGACAGTGCATTGATAATGACCAAAACACAATGAATGACAGTAAAAAGTAGCAATTTTACCCAATAAATGCGTTAATAATGTCAAATGGTTTATATATAGTCATTCAAATGAACTTAAAACGATTTAAAACGGCAAATTTATTTAGGCCAGAACTACAAAACCAAATGTAAAACAATTTTAGTATCAGCTTTGCTTAATTTGCACACTAGTGTTGTAGGAGAGGGGAAATAGAATATTTACGGGATTTGTAGTCCATAGCGAAGTGTATTGTGGGTAGTGTAGTTTGACACGCATGCTGGATTATGTGAGCTCGCTGTGTTCTGTGCAGCTGAGCAGAGGAAGAAAGTTTTAATCGGCTTTGTTTTATGTTCACTCGAGTTATTCCTACCGAGAGCTGTTTGCACTGTGAATCTGACAACACGAAAATAAGTAAAAGAAAGGCATGCATTGGTTACTTTTGTCCGTCTCATCATCTGCACGAGCATGAATTAACGAGCTGTTATTCTGCCGCTGGACATCACTGAAGCAGAGAAAGTAACACTAGTTTAATCATGTGTAAATATCATTATAACTATATTGCATAAATATGATTATAACTAGGTCTACAGCAACCTGATAATCAAAAAACAAATGACATGATATCACAGGCGATTGTCTTCTGACTGTAGACACTTCTCATATAAGTTGGCTTGAGAAGCATACAGTACTATTTGATCTATAGAATTTGTAAAATAAATATTTGCAGGTTAAAGAAACAGCATAGGAGGGGCCTTGGTGCAGATGAAAAGATTAAAAAGTGTATTTGTAAATAGAGAGACATGGGTAACTAGATAGAATAGACAGAGATAGGTTGATCTCAGCAGCAGCTGCCGAAGAGCTGCGCGCTGCAGACGCAGCTGGTGTGAAAGGCAAATGCCTGCGTGCTGCTACTGCTCGACATACGCGCTGCGCACGCTCTGCTCACACGCCGCTGACGCTTGCGGTGTGAAACAGGCGTGACTGTCTGCACGCCGCACATACATAAGCATGCGGTCTTTTGCGCTTTTAAGAGCAACAAGTGAGGACAACTGGACAGGGGGTGGTAAATAATGGAATAATCGTTTATCTCGATTAATGGTTTTTCATAATCGTTAGAAGCCATAATTGAAATCGAAATTGGATTTTCGATTAATTGCACAGCCCTACTCTTAATGACTTTTTATATATAGAAATCATTTAGCAGTGGGTGATACTTCTGTTTTTTGTGGGTAAAATTGGTTTGTGGGTCTCACAGTAGGCTTGTCTTTCAGCAAATGTATTTTTTTAATAGAAGAAAGTATAATCTAGTTGTTTTTTCAAGAAACGGTGAGTTCTGATACTTACATGGACCACTTTATCATCAGTGCTGTTCAGCAGGATTTTGTAAGAGTTGTAATAAACAATTGCATACTGGGTGCATGCAATACGTTTCACAACATCACAATAATAGTTCTTAAGATGAACACTGATATTGTACGTTGGGATGATTTCTTCCATCAACACATAAGTGCAGTTTCCATGAAAAGTATAATATTGTCCATCAAAAGATCGATAATGAGGGTCGCCATATGCCTTGCACAAACCTGTTAGCTCAAGAAACAGGAGTTAAATATAAGGCACTGCCAAAAACAATGTAATTTTGGTACTTTTAAGATTGAATTGAACAAAATAAACTCACAGTCACACTCATATTTATAGCAGCACCGGTTGTTATAATACACCTTCACAGGTCCAAGGCCGTTGACACATTTAGGAACTACAACTGGGTCACATTGCACATGATTTGATGTGACTGTTCCATTTTTGCATGTTTTGATAGTGCATGCGTCTGTCTGTTATAAATAAACCAATTCAATAATATTAACAAACGAAGGTTAGTAAAAATGGGTGATAACTTCATGTCTTTTTTGTGTGTGTATGAGGACTGTAAGTAGCTTCTTTTATTACCGTGCTGTTGTCAAAATTAATCTGTTGTACAACAGAGCAAGATGAGTTGCAATAAGCAGAATAACACTTATCAAGTAGGTTGAAAGTTGACCCTATGATTAAAAAAAATAATAATGTTCAACATGTATCATTTTCAATTTCATTTTTATAAATAATTAGGGCAGTACGTACCTGCTGGGTATTTTACATTATTGTATATGCAGAAACAAGTGGTAGTTGTTGTAGTTGTGTTTAATTGCTGTGGCATAGGTGAAGGGGAGGGGGTTGGAGGGGGCCCCGTGTACACAATGAAAGCCGGTGTAGTGGCTGTTGTTGTAGATGGTGGTGTTACAGCAGTAGTGTTAGTAGGTATTGTAGGAGCTGTGGTTGTCCCTTTAGAAGTTGTAGAGGTGGCGGTAGATATTTCTGTTGTTGTAGATGGTGGTGTTACAGTAGTAGGGGTAGTAGGTATTGTGGGAGTTGTGGTTTTCACTGTTGGAGTAGTAGAGGTAGTGGTATATGTTTCTTGCGTTGTAGATGGAGGGGTTGAAGTAGTAATGGTAGGTATTGTAGGAGTTGTGGTTGTTACTGTTGGAGTTGTAGAGGTAGCGGTAGATATTTCTGTTGTTGTAGATGGTCGTGTTGTGGTAGTAGGTATTGTAGGAGTTGTAGTTGTCACTGTATAAGTTGTAGAGGCAGCGGTAGATATTTCTGTTGTTGTAAATGGTGGTGTAACAGTAGAAGTGGTAGTGGGTATGGTGCGAGTTGTGGTTGTCACTGTAGGAGTTATAGAAGAAGCGGTAGATGTTTCTGTTGTTGTAGATGGTGGTGATGTGGTAGGTATTGTAGGAGTTGTGGTTGTCACTGTAGGAGTTGTAGATGTAGCAGTAGATATTTCTGTTGTTGTAGATGATGGTGTTGTAGTAGTAATGGCAGTAGATATTGTAGGAGTTGTGGTTGTCACTGTTGGAGTTGTGGTGGTAGATGTTTCTGTTGTTGTAGATGGTGGTGTAACAGTAGTAGTGGTAGTGGGTATGGTACGAGTTGTGGTTGACACTGTAGGAGTTGTAGAAGTAGTGATAGATGTTTCTGTAGTTGTAGATGGTGGTGTTATAGTAGTAGAGGTAGTTGACATTGTAGAACTTGTGGTACTTAGCGATACATTGCAACATACACGTATTAGATGATTATCACAAGCTTCATATGCATTATCAAGGTTTGAGCATAATAATCCAAAAGATGTATTACAGGACACTACTTGATCATGGTTCCAGTTCTCGCCTGTATAGTTTTTATCACCATAATTTGACATGCATTCAATCTTGTCTGGTATCTCACAGGGAATTTTATTAGTTTCCCATAAGTCTTTGATGGATTCAATTTCCTGTCCTTCAACATCTGTGCTGGGCTGGCTGTTGTCAAACCACTCTGACCAATCACAAATAGGTGTTGTTAGGGTAATAGTGGTTGTAGATATTGTAGGAGTTGAAGTTGTCACTGTAGAAGTTGTAGAGATAGTGGTAGATATTTCTGTTGTTGAAGTTGGAGGGGTTAAAGTAGTAATGGTTGGTATTGTAGGAGTTGTGGTTGTCACTGTTTGAGTTGAAGAGGTAGCGGTAGATATTTCTGTTGTTGTAGATGGTGGTCTCACAGTAGTACTTGTAGTAGGTATTGTAGGAGTTGCAGTTGTCCCTGTAAGAGTTGTAGAGGTAACTGTAGATAGTTCTGTTGTTGTAGATGGTGGTGATGTAGTAGTAGGTATTGTAGGAGTTGTGGTTGTCACTGTAGGAGTTGTAAAAGTAGTGGTAGATGTTACTGTTGTTTTAGAGGGTGGTGTTATAGTACTAGTGGTAGGTATTGTAGGAGTTGTAGAAGTAGTGGTAGACGTTACTGATGTTGTAGATGGTGGTGTTATAGTACTAGTGGTAGGTA